CCCTGGAGTGCTGTGTCCAGTTCGGGGCTCCCCAGTACAAGAGAGACATGGAGTTCCTGGAGAGAGTCCAGCAGAGGGCTACTAAGATGACGAAGGGACTGGAGCACCTCTCCTATGAGGAAAGGCTGAGAGAGCAGGGGCTGTTCAGTCTGGAGAAGAGAAGACTGAGGGGGGCATCTGATCAATGTGTGTAAGTATCTGATAGGAGGCTGTAAAGAGGACGGGGCCAGACTGTTTTCAGCGGTGCCCAGCAATAGGACGAGAGGCAACAGGCACAAACTGAAACACAGAAAATTATGTCTGAACGCAAGGAAAAATGTCTTTCCTGTGAGGGTGACCGAGGCCTGGAACAGGTTGCCCCAAGAGAGGTTGTGGAGCCTCTCTCCTTGGAGATATTCAGAAGCTGCCTGGACACTGTGCTGGGCAACACGTTCTAGGTGGCCCTGCTTGAGCAAGAGGGTTGGACCTCCAGAGGTCCCTTCCAACCTCAACCTTTCTGAGCAGAAGTATTTCCCAACTCAAGAACTTTCCCGTCTGACACTGCAAACTCCTAAGATTTCAGTAAAATAAAGAGCTATTTCACTCTTAGCTTTTAGCTATTAGATGCAGGCAGCCTTCCCCACACCTGTTACTGCTGCCCACGCCCCCTGCAACAAGATTTGCTCCCAGACTGGTCCTACGTGGGAACAAATCCCCAGGGCGAGCAGTGAGGGCACCATTCAGGCAGCCTGGTCATAGTTCCAGCAGTGTCACAACTCGGCATTTCTATCTGCTTAAAGCGTTTCAGACAGGTTTGACCAAAGAAGCTGCCTGGAGAAGGCAAATCTGTGTTCTCCTCCACTGTCTCTGCTCTCCCAACCACCCTCCAGCAGTTAAATGGCAGGAGGACTGGGCTCTCTCTCTCCTGTAGCCACTAGCCGTGGGCTAAGAGGAGGCACATCATCCAGACAAGTAATTTAGAAGAATCCTTTCTATTCAGCAATCAGTCAGCAGCAGCAGCACACTCCACCAGCCATTCTGAAAGCTGTTTTCTCTGTCCTTTGTGCTTCCTTCTTCCCACTCACAGAGCATGACACACATCAGCTCCCTTCCAGATGCTTGTGCTGTACTGACAAGGTAACAAAGCCTGGATTCTACTTAGTAGATTGTCTCCATGGGGGCTTTTTTTTTTTTTTTAAATCCACAGTAACATTACCCTGGCTTCGAGCCTCTTCAGGCCTTGGCTTTGAATTCTTTCAGACACAGAAACCTTTATCTTCAGGATGACATCCGACAACTCTCCCTGAAGGTGCTGTTTCTATCTGTTGCAAGTCTATGTCCCTCTCTCTCCCTGCTCATTTGAGGCTAGCTGAAGTGAGAGCATCAGGTCCCTTCACCCAGCCTGGTTCCCTTTTGACAGCACCTCAGATACTCCTGCATCCAACACCCCAGGCCACCTACTTGAGAATAGGAAATGTAGCAGATCTCAAACACAGTCACAAGGGCTCTTTGTTCTGATTTACACTCCCTTTGCAGGTAGAGCTGCAGCAAAACAAGCCACAGCGGGGGCAAGTGCGAGGAAGGCAACTTGGTGAGCAAAGAAATCACGGTGCCAATACCAGCCCATCTCCCCCCAAGACTGCCAATAGATAGGACAGAGTTTTGGATGCCAGGAGCCTTTGGCCACCGCTTGCTTTTGACCTTTATTCTGCAACCAGCATCTTCTATTGAGGGAGAGGGCTATACTCCCTGCTTTTTACCACCCTCCTTTACCCCCTTTCTTCTTCTTCTGCTGCTGTTTCTTCTTGGTGGCTGGGGCCCCAGCTGGCTTTTGGTGCCTGGGAGGGATGACGTTACTTGCGGCTGATACGGCTGCAGCGCTGCCAGGCCTAGGGGAGGTAGGTGGGCTGCTGGCAGTCCTACTGGCATCCCTGCAGGAAAGAAGAGAGAAAAAGGTACCACACAGGCTCACAACCACATGCAAGATGGGCAGCTTCAGCAACAGCTGGGCAGGAAGCCGACAGCAAAAAACAGAGGCTGCCCCATGAGATCTAGATAGCGTCATGGACGTGAGAGCACTTAGGCCTCAGGGTGACCTTGTTCATCTTAGATGAGCTTCAATGTGGATGATGGGAACATGTCTCAAAGAGCAGGCGATCAACTTCTTACTCTGGTGTTCACTAAATATTAGAAGTCCCCAACAACAAAAGCAAGACTCACTTTTGAATAGATGGGTGACAGCTCATGCAATACAAGAGAACCATTTCAGGCTCTCAGGTAGGCAGCGTGAATCCAATATCCTTTCTTGCTCCTTAACAACAAAGGCATATTTGCATTGCCTTTCCTTGCAAGCATTGCTCAAGCCAAAGCCCTTTGTGGGACTGCTTCGTGCTCCCATTTTGGAAGAAAGGTGTATAAAGGGGAACTGCGTCAGCCAACATTGGCAATTCCCTGCGTTGCTATTACTCTAGAAGCGCTTCCTTCTTTCAGGCCCAAATAAGTCACCATCTTGCTGTCATGCCTCATAGACAGCAGCAAACCCTGATTCCAGCTCAAACCAGGGCCAAGTTTTAAGGAAGCATAATTATTTCCCCAAATCATGGCTGACAGCTCTCCCTCCAGCAGCCAAAAGACTTAAGAGCACATAGTTTGAGAGAAGGCATATGTAATTCATCTCATCTTCAAAGCTAAGAAAAGCAATTAAAAGGCTATGGGAATTCTATTTGCACCTTGGGTCTGGCTTCAAGTGTGCTTTTCAGATTATTTTGATTTTCAGTAACCTACAGGGATATTCTGGAAGAGCAGCTGGTAAAAGGTGCAAATAACAATACACCATTTCACCTGTGCTACCAGGGCTGGTGAGGCAATGGACCCAGAAGAAAGCAGCACAAACCCAGCCCTCCTGGCTGCCCAGGATCAACTCCCCACACTGAGCCCTGCAAAGGGTACTCACAGTTCAGAGGAGCCAGCTGTAGTTGAGCCCTGAGTCCCCTTGCCAACCTGGTCCTTCTTCTTGCCCTTCTTCCGCCCACGATAGTATGAACGCTCTCTCATCGGGAGCCACCGCTCAGGGTCAGGGGTTACCTTAGGGTCATAGTTTTTGGGCAGCTTCCCTGCAGAACAACCAGTGCAAGGAAATGAGATTGGGGTGAACACACCACAGAGGCATCAACAAGAGATATGCACGGGATATCAGTAGCCAGGACATGTCCGGAGCCCAGCAACCCACAACACATCCCCTCACCAAGCCTCTTATCTGGGTGCTGCTCTCACTGCTGTGGAGAAAGGCCCCATTCGGAAGAAACTACCATGAACAACTGGGTTCACAGGAACCCAGTCCAAGCAACGAGCTCCAGCTCCTGGGGAGAGTGCCAGGGTGCTCAGGGCTGGCTATGAGATGAAACAGGCCAGCCAGCGCTCTGGAGCTGTGCCCTGTCAATAGCTATGAAACACAACTCACCCTTCTTTTTCTTCTTTTTCTTCTTCACATCTCCTTGCCTAAAAAGAAAGAAGAGTGGAAACAGCAGCTGTGACACAGCACAGACACAGTGAAAAAGTCAACCAGAAACTAGTGCCGAAAGAAGCTGAACCATTCTCCTCTCTCTCAAAACTTAGGTTTGCTACTGCCTGAATCTCCCACAGGTACTCACTGGGCTCCCATTGCACCAGCTTGCTTTCTACAGGGATACCCCCATCACGCCAGGTGCAGTTCTTGTGCCACCCAACAGAATGACGAAAGTAGCACTCTTTACCCTTGCTCCTTCTGCTGGTTGTCTCCAGTGAGCTTCCCAGCTTTCTTCCGAACATAGGTTGCTCCGTGGGAGTTCTCCAGTGCGTCTACATCTACTTTCAGTGACATGGTGTCTGAGGAAGGCAAGTGTTTGCTAAGACTGCAAAGGGAGAGTTCAGGGATGCAAACCAGGAAAGCTGGCAAGTCAGCAGCAAGGGGCAAGCACAGAAGGTAATCAGCTTTGCCTGAACAGACACAGATGGGCAACAAATTCAGCCTGTTAGCAATACAGAATCAAACAGACCTATGGAGCTAGTCCCAGCTCTCTCACTAGCTCATTGCACATGCTGGGATCAGTTGCTTAATTCCCCTCTGCCTCATTTTTCCCTTCTTTGAGATGGGGACAGAAGCAGCAGCTTCCTCTGAAAGCTGCAGGGGGAGGAAAAAGCTGTATGGGAACCTGGTATTTTGGGTCAATGAGAGCTTAGCCATGTTTGGTTGGGCACAGTCCTGCATTACTACCACAGGTCTAAGTTTTCAACAGAAAAGACAGAGCACCTCCAACTTTGGTTCCTCCTAGTCTTGAGTTACCACCCCTCAAAGAGGAGGCACCCAAGGACAGACTGGTCCT